ATGTCTAAAAATAACAACAATTAGTATTAATAAAAAAAACTCAGGAGAGAGAGAGAGAATGATATAATAGCTTTTGGACTAATGGCTTGCTTCAGTAAATTTGGAGGAAGGAAATTGGCTATTTATTTGGCTGGAGGTGAATAGGAGAAATAATAATTGTTGTGTGAAGAGGTTTTGAGCTTCACGTGAGAGTGTACTGAGCCGACGGGCTTGGATTGCAAGAAGTGAAGTTCGGCAAGAGCAGGAGCGGCTGTTGTGGTTTTACGGCTTAGGGAACACGTACAGAGAAGAAATAGAGGGACTGAGAGGTCGGATCCTACTGTCGGGTGAAGAGGTCAGGTGAGAATCAAATAGGGCTATGGAGTTGGGCTGGGAGGATCGAAGCCTAGTTGGAGTGGGGGAGTTTGGTGGAAGGCTGCTGCTGGTGACGGGATTAGGGTCCGGTTGGGTTACGGGTCCTCAAAAGAATGGCTAAGGTGAAATCGGAAGGCTTGTGGGCATTGGTTTGACGAGCACAAGTTGGGAATCACGCCAGTTGGTCTGTTTGCAGGGTCAGAAGGTCATGAGCTGGGGGCCGATAAAGCAGAGGACGGTTCAATCAGGTCGAACGTGAGGTTTGATTGATCAGGATTGGCTGCAGGGGTAGTGTGTTGTGGTCTTCGAGCGGCTTATAGTGGAACAAGTGCAGGTGGCTTGCGATTCTGGCTACAGGCGCAAGTAGTGGAAGCTTGCGTTTAGCAGTCGATCTAATGTCATGCAGGTAGATCAGTGTGGACTGCGAAAAGTTCAAGGAAGGATCGAACTGGGCGTCGGTTTGGCCTACAGGGACGTTCGACTGTTGAACCGTGGAGATCAAGTGGAAGTAGGGAATTTCAGGGGAGGGAGCGAGAGCAGAAAAAAAAAAAAAAAAAAGCAAAACGTCATTTGGTTTCATTTTAACGATGGGCCAAAGATTCAATTGAGATGAGCTAAGCAGAAATCCCGCAAGGAAACGCTAAAAAGCCGAGAATTATGGGATTTTGACGGAGCAAGCGCAGGTGATACGAAGTAATTTTGATTTGATTTTGTATTCTATTAATAATAATAATGTTATTATTATTATCATTGTTTTAAAATGACAGAATTTTTCTCTGCCTCGATTCGTGCGTGCAATTTCCTCAAGATTCATGCCGATTTTTCAAGACGAGCTCCGTTGGGAAAATTATGGTCGTTTATAAGTATTGTCGACGTGTCGAATGCATCGGCGAAGTCCGTTTTGCTATCAGAAATCATTTTGATGACATCGCGAGTCAATTTCAGGTGTTAGTCACCGATTTTTACCCTATTCACGCGAATTGACTACAAGGGGCTCCCTCTCGAATAAATTCGACGTTCTGATTGCAACAGCACAGTTCGTTTGACAATCAGAGGTCATTTGACAATCACAACCACCGGCCATCACTAAATTGTAGGTTTCACTCCTTTCGCGTGTTTTTTTGTTATAGGGGTCAACATATTTACACAAAAAGTTTAAGCCCAAGGATGAGAATTAATCAGGGGTACATTCACATATGCTTAGTGGTTTCCACGAATTGCAATCCATGGAGACATTTTTGGTAGCTTTACACTCAAATCAAATTATGCAGATCTCTAAAGAGTTATCAGCACATAGTATCAAAATAATCTTAGCCAAATTCTTTGCCATCAATCTCCGAAAAACAAAGCCAGCTAATATGTCTGAAGCCCACCAATTTCAAGGGATTTCACGATTTGGTGTTATTGTTGGAGAATGAAAATGAAAAGAAATATATCAACATTATGAGGACCCATTCATTCTCTTGTATAGATGCTTTGTAAAACCTTCTTCTAATTATCATAATGGGCATTCTGACAGTCAAATGCCAAATAAAACTCTAACAAAACCTTCTGATGCACGGACTCACACAAAAAGGATTCAGCATAATTTTTTAGATAAAAAGACAGAATCAACAAGATTTGAGTTAGTTGTGTGCAATATACTAGGGACCAAACCTATGTTTAAACAAAACGTTTAAGTCCAGGGATGAGAATCAATCAGTCCAACATTCACATAACCTTGTTGTATGGTGATCCAAAATGGGACTAAATCTAATATCATGTGCCTCATCAATTCGTCTCATTAAGGGAACATTCAAAATTTAATCCACAACTCTCTGTATATTTAAAACTTTCCACAACAATCATGTCATAACCAAAAAATTTACCAAAAAGCTCTAAGATGGGCATGAAATCAGTGAGTCGATAAATTTGGTTCAAACATGAGAGAGGAGTTAAATCATAGAAACCACAACTTGCATCAAACACTGAAACCTAGAGGAATTTCATCTCTAATACCACTTATCCGTAGGGAAGAAGTTATGTCCAACACTTAATGATCAAGTGCCTATTCCAAAAGATGAAGTCAATCAGAGACAGGCAATACTAGCGTAGTAGTTGATGAAGCAGCTTCCAACAGCTAGTGCTAGCATTAAAACCATGCATTAAACTCCATCACTCCCCACTCACTTCAAATGGGTACTAAGATTATATAAGTATTTGTATTAAGAAGGCTTAGGAACTGCTTTTTCCCACTTATTTTCAATTTAATGTTTTAAAAGAAAGAGTGGGTGATTTCTCCCAAGTTAACAAGAAAACATTGTTGCAGTCCATGACCCTTAGTCTGAAATTTTGATGATGACAAAAAATGTCAATTTGAATTAATTGATTATTCATTGAATATTTTGAATTTTGCTCTTGTATGTGATTACTAACATTTCAGGGAGATCACATATTACTCAAGATAACAAGAAGACTCAAGACTAGGTAAAGTAGGATGTGAAGCTTGAAACCATTTAATTTTCATTTATTTTGTTTTTTTTTTTTTTCTTATCTTGAGTCTGACCACAAAGTGTATGCAAACTAAGCAACCCGGCACACACACAGGGGGAGAGCTTTATTTTAAGTAAAAAATTATTTTTAACTCTCTATAGATCGTACTGTACGAGTTTAAATCGTACTATACAAACTACTGCGGTTCAACAGCTACCTGTGAACAGATCATACTGTATGAATGGTATCGTACTATACGATATGTTTTTAATTAAAAATCCTAACCACCAGATTAATTTAAGTAAGTTTTTAAACCGTAAATTTTGAACTAATCGTACTGTACGATCAAATCGTACTATACAATAATTTGTATACCTACATAAATTAACCCCCGTGATTAGTCAGTAAATCAAGGATTAATTTTTGATTGGTTATCGTACTGTACGATATGGTTTGTACCAATGTTTAAAATTGTGTATTTGGGTATTGAGGCGTTTTTCATTCATGAGGCGAGCCTCATATTGTGCAATTTTAAACCATAGTTCGTACTGTACGATCAACCAATGCTGTTTTCGATTGTCCCGAACATCGTACTAGACGATCCCTTGATTTTTGAACTAATCGTACTAGACGGCCTTAAGCTTTTAAGGTATCGTATTGTACGATGTGGATCGTACCAGACGATGAACAGAGACGAGTTTTGATCATCCTAGCGTTCGTCCTGTACGAACAGAAAGAAAATAACACATCGTATTGAACGATGTTGAATCGTACTGGACAATGTTGTTCAGAGAAATTATCTATTCGTACTCTTTTGTACCAGGACGAAGGCTGTTTTGAACTGATCGTACTGTACGATCTTGGATCGTACTATACGAACAGAAAAGGCTATATTGAAAATTTAGGGTTTCTTGGAGCCTGATTTAAATATCTAAACTTCTGTCTTTTGAGGAATATGTGTGAGAGAGGAACGTGGCTAGAAGGTGATTTCTTGATAGAGAGCTTTTTTAGAAGATTTTGGGTTTGTGAGAGGAGGGAGAAGGTGAGTTTGTGAGGGAGATCACACGGTTGCTCCTAGCTTGTTGCACGTTGCTCCTAGCTTGTTGCATGTTGCTCCTCCTATGGCCCGAGAAGATCTTGTGGGAAGCTTTATAAGGGGGAGATCCTTCAAGATCCGTGTCTTCTAAGGTACTCCGCCTTCTCCAGGAGGAAAAAAACGAGAAGGTTCGCTGCCGTCACCGGGAGGGTGACATAGCGTTTGGTACTCCGCCACGTCGGAAAGGTGAAAGTGAGGTTTATAAAGGCTTCTCCGCCTTGCTGTGGGGGCAAAAGGAGAATTATTGTTTAATAGTGAAATTCCCGGAGTGGATGACTCCGGAGAGTGGACGTAGCTCAAGTGACCGAACCACTATAAATCTTCTGGTATGATTTTTCCCTTACTGCACTTTATTTACGTTTTGCATTTTTACATTCGTTATAATTGCTTGGTGAAAATCACATTCTAATTCTTTGTTGAGCAAGTTAAAATTTCACCACCCATTGTTGCAATCGTGTTTTCATTAAATGTGGGATTATTCCAAACATTCAAATGCTCCTTACATAATGCAACGTCATCCTCAACATGCAATTAAGAACAATCTATCAATCCTATAAAAATATGTTGTCAATGAACATTAAGAGTTAAAAACTTGTTTTTATTGCTTCTCATAAACAATTTTAATGATTATAAACTTTTCTAAGCTTTAGGGATGCATTAAATGAAGCAAATCATTATGTATAAAGCAAATCTACCACAGCCTCAGAAAGAAAAATCCATTCTAATTTGTTAGTTTATTTTAACAGCCTCATGACAACAAATGCATCCTTCAAAATAACTCATCCGCAAATGCACAACATAGAAATTAATGAAAAAAAATTATTCAATTCTTTGAGAAATAGTATGTATTTTCCATGAAAAAACAAGAGCGAATTTTACTAACAAGCATGCATATTTCTTCAATAACCCAGATGAAAAATCAACAACATAAGCTCAACAAGAAAAACAAGAGTTCACATACCAAAAGAAAATAGTAGAAGATTAAAACGGGAACATTATACAATAATCAAATGTTCATAGAAAATGTTTGTAAAACAAAAGAATAAAGGAAAAAAAAGTGCTGAATATCTAACAATACCTAATTATTCTCTCAACAATCTTTCGACCAATACCTTGTTTCTGCAGTGAAGGCATGACCTAGAACACATTAATTTAATATACATGAATATATGTAAGGTACCAAAGTTCAAATAGTAAACTTAGATCACAACTTAATGATAAAAATGCAACTGCAGTTAATTTTGTTCAGAATAGAAAGTAAAAAAACTTGGCTGCGTGTTTTAGAACAAATGCATCCTGACAAATTTCTTATTTCCGCAAGACATGCAACTTTCCACTTACATAAAGCTATTCCAAGGACATTAGGTATGTAATTAGACTTTACACAGGTAAATAACATGCCAAAGTTCATATAATAAAGAGCACAGATGTTGTTTCATCAATTACAGTATGATCACTAGTGCGTTCACTTAAAGAAGAAAATTGCTTCCAATTAGTCCTAGGAAAGGCAAAAACCATGACAGATAAAGGCAGTAAATAACACACGCATGACATAAAAGCCGAAATAAGACTGTATATGATCCTTAATATAGGAGAACTCAATTTTTATTTTTTTCAAGATAAGACCACATAATAGAAAAGAGAGGACAGAACATGAATTCATGATAAATTTTAAAAATATATATACATCAAATATCTTGAAATTCTCTTTTGTTTGAGGTCAAACTCTCTTTCATACCCATTAATTGAGTTACTTATCTATATTTGTGAGTGAAAGCTCATTTTCAACAGCAACTCTGTATCTTTGATAGTGTTAAGAAGCCAGCAATGGCATTGGCAACATTGTAAATGAGTGACTGTTCACTACGAAGTATGAAAGCCCAGTTGCTGAATCAAAGCAAGGAATGCTGTTTATTTCCAAAATAAGAACATGAAGAAAAACTGGCAAATGCGAGGAAACAGTCAAAGGAGTTTATTTTAGAAGTTGCTTTCTGTGACTGCATTTGCTATAAACATATTCATAACTATACCTACAATATTCTGCAAGATAACAAGCACAGCAAAGGGAGCTTAGAAAATCTTGAAATAACATACTTTCCCCATGGATTGATAACCTAATGTATGGTTATAACAACTGCTTCCCATAAATTAAAGAAAATTATAGAATTATTGGTATACCACATCATGTGCCATCCATTTATCACTCAAATCTCAACCAAATAAGAATACCCAATACACATTCTTTCTTCCGGGGGCGGGGCGGGCTCCGTAAACACCTTTGATTTATTAGCAACTGTTGGAATAAAAAGAACAAGGAAAAGTTTCACACATACCACTACATCGTGAATGGAAGCCGTCAATCCTATATCCGACACTGCCCGGCCAAACCCAATCAAATGGTGTTCGGGACCTGGCGCCCAGAAATTACTCTCGAAGAAATTCTCAAAGCCGAGAGCTACCGATGTCTCATCTGAGCCGTCGTCTACGGCGGTAGCGGTGGAGGGTAAAAATCTGGCACGGCAGAACACGGAAACCAAGATGAAGCTGTGATCGATAGCTGTCCGTAGCTTTCCGACATCAGCGGGCTCCACGAGGCCTTCGCCCGCGGAAACCGGGAAGCGATGACAGGAGTGGCCAGCGGAGACAAGGAGGTCGCGGAGACAGAGGACGTCGACATGAGAGGGATCGGTGGAAATGGAGATGGGAGGATGGGCTCTTCGGCGAAGGTGGTGATATGGGGATGAGAAGGGAAAGTGAGAGGCTGAGACAACCGATAAGACAGAAGAGATGGCCATTGATGGCGAGCGGGTTGATCGGAGAAGGAAGAAAGTAGAAACAGAGTGAAGAGAATGAAGGTCACATATTTGCTTCCATGGCGGTCGTGGATGTGCCAAAGCTAGAACAGGAGGTGATAAAGTTTTCATTAGCGAGGCTCAGTTGCAAATTAAAGAAAAAAGTAAAAAACACTTGCCTTAAAATTCAGGCTTTTCATTTTCCGATTTATGAATAAACTGTTACATAAGAGTTTTGAAGTTAAGTTAGTTTTGGTCAGCCCCCCTTTCTTCTAAATTCTTTTATATGTTCAAATAATCTAAGTCTATTTGTACTATTTTATCTTCAATAAATATTGTTCCGATTGTCCCTCATATATATAATTATTTTTTAATTTGTTCGTCGTGATTTAGCCATAAATTCACATTATTATTGTCATTAATAACAAGCTAAACTAATCTTTTAAGAATTTCTTCATAATCCAACCATGCAAATCACATAAGTGTACTTTTTATAAATTTTATGTTTAAAAATCCATAAAAATCTCCGTTCAAATAGTAGTAATATTGACTGATATTTTGTAATATCACACGCACACACACTTAAATTACATATTGTATATTTAATCTTTATTCCCTTAACTAGAAATTATCTATCATCTAAATATTTTATTTATTAAATTATACTTTTCATTAAATTTGACACAAATTTCACCAATTATAGCTATATTATATATTAAAATATATAAAATAAAGTTAATTTCTAATATGAACTTCTTGTAAATGGGGGAACTCTTTGATTACTTTACAAATAATAATATTACTAGTCTACTATTTATCAACATATTATTAATAATTATTTGACAAATTTTTTGTTTCATTTATACCAAATCAATTATTGCAAAACTAAATCATGCATGCTTCTTAAAATTATTTAAAATCATATAAAAACTTTTCATTGCTTATTATTTTTATAAGTTATTTTTTGCACAAGAAATTTATAGTGAATTTTTCTAGCATTAAAGAAATCAATAGTGAAATTTATTCATTATTTTATTCTATAAGAACTTTTTCTTTTAACTCTCATACATTTGAAGATTACGTTAAAAACTATCCCTATTCCATACAACACTACAAAACAAAACAGAAGAGCCCAAGTTCCCCCTTCAACAAATAAAGGATTATTTTTTATTTTTTATTTTAAAGGGAACAGAAAAGATAGCTTCGATAAGTTCTTAGGCCACAAAGTCAGAGCAATCAAACTGAGAATAAGAACAAGGATGAAATTTATGTGTAGCATATCCACAAAATAAAAATCACAGGAGACCTGCATTTCATTCAAATAAAATTAATTTATTTTCTTCTTCATCTGCATTTCAAAGATACATGTACAGAAAATAGCATTCCCGAGAAAAAAATATATTTAATTTTTCACTTTTGATCTGTTCTTTGACTCGCAGATGTTAATTTACTTTTCTTTGTACAGTTAATAATAAACATCTCTACCAGATTTGCTACAGCTGCAGACATGGCAGAGTACATGCAGAATACAGAGAACTTGCAGCACTTTAAAGCCTCCCCAGCATTTCATGGGAGCACTCCAGCAATTATTAGGATCATCTATCTTGGTAAAAAAATTTGATCAGGACATGCTCATCAAATTTTTGATAAAGATAGATTTTAAAAATTTTGAATTTGTTTTGAGATAAGTACAATATAAATTACTTATATATTGCACTTCTTTCAAAATCAATTCAAAGAATTTAAAATCATCAGAGAAGTGTAGCTCTTCTTTAAGCATGTTAGCTAGAAAATCTGAAAGAAAAGGCTGGTTGAACCGTCGCTAAATGATCGAAGGTCAGCGGGCTTCACAAGTGCCCGGCACAGAGGGCATGTGCGTTCCCTCTCAAACCTGGAAAAAGAATCACAAAGTTTTCTCCATGACCATTATATTTAATGAAACATTGGATCAGACAAAGATATTTAGATTTGGGCTTCGTTTGAAAAACTTTTGTACTGTTTTCTAAAACGGCTTTCTAGTAAAAAATATCAAATTCAAGAAATTTTTGTACTAAAAATTTGCTTTAGAAAGCAAGAAGAAAGTCATCCCAAACGAAACCTTAATTATGGCAGTGTTGCAAGATAGATGGAACTGTTTGATAATTTCAATTGATTAGTATAAGAGGATTCCAGCAACTTGTTCCAACAGATTATGCCAAGGTGAAACTTGCTTTATGGCATAATTTTCAGGTGAGCTGGAAAAGTTCAGAGGAACAATTTCAAATTTAAAAAAATTTTGTATTAGAAAATTATTTTAGAAAGCAAGAAGAAAGTCGTCCCAAACGAAACCTTAATTATGATAGTGTTGCAAGATTAGATGGAACTGTTTGATAATTTCAATTGATTAGTATAAGAAGATTCATGCAACTTGTTCCAACAGACTATGTCATGGTGAAACTTGCATTAAGGCATAATTTTAAGGTTAGCTGGAAAAATTCAGAGGAACAATTTTGAGGGTTCCTGTGATAGAAGAATAAAGGAGGATGAACAAATAAATAGAAGAAGAGGAGAGGCAATTACCATTCAGAAACGCAGTCCTCGCAGAAAACGTGTTTACACCGGAGAAGGATAGGAGCATGCATTTTCTCCTGGCAGATAGCACAGAGATCACCAGCTGCAATGACCTACAACAATCAGTTAAATTGAGTTAGAATCTAGCACAGAAGAAAAATGTTCCGTCCATAATACTTTAGCTTACACCCAAGAACTCCCCTCACAGGAGCCCATGCTACCTAATGGTCAAACAGCAGGAGAAAATAAATCCAAAGTGCAATTAATTTGTAGGGTTGCGATCACAACTGTAGCGTGCCCAAACAAATCAATTAAGGTAAATAGACAAGGGTTTGTTTTGTTGAAAGTAAAATGGTTGTAAAGTATTCTTTCTGTAGGAGTTTTGCAAATATTAATATTTGGTTGGATGAGAAAAGAATATAGTGTAAAGTACTTTTAAATGTAATGCAAAATATTCCAATTAACATTTGAGGTATAAGCTGGCCTAATTTTGAGTGAAAACCATTTTCACCGCAGCCAAGCTAACCTGTTACCATCACTGCCTACGCTGCCGACTACAACCAGCTGTTGCCAGCACTGCCCACCCGCCCCCGTCATTGGCCACCCTTAGCCACCGAAGGTTGCCACTAACCACCACCACCTACGGCCGAGCACCATCAAATCGACCTTTACACTGCATTTATTTTACTTCAAGCCAAACAGAAAAAAAGTAATCTCATGTATTGTTTTTGTACTCATCCAAACAACTTCAAATATTTCAAATACACTATATTCCCTTTACATTGCATTTTTTTACTCCACATCATGTTTTTAGCAAACCATAGCAAACCAAATGACCGCTAAGGGTGAACCAAATCATGAGAAATCATACTAAAGGAGCACAAACTGTTCTTATAAGCAGCATCCTATCATGACTAAATAAAACAAAACAAAAAAAAAATTACTAAAAAAATTAAACAAAGATCAAATTTAGCTCGTTGTAGAATGTAAGATTTGTGCTTTCGAAGAGTGTAGACCTCATATCCCGATCAAATTTAAAAGAGATCTATATGCCTATACTCAACACTGAGCAAGTTTATTTTTAATAATTATATTTAATTTTCATTGCATTTTTTTTAATTTCAATCATTTTCTACAATTTACATTACTTGCATTTGTGGGAGCTGCGTTTTTGGGTTTTCTCATGGGTTTTCTGTTTTACCGCTATCTGAGGTTTACCTCGGCTGCTGGAATTGCCGGGTGACTGCTATGTTCTACTGGTTAAACTACTGATGCCGTTGGAGACCACTCGAACGGTTTTGTTTAGTCTTTTTACCATTATCGGTAGTCATCTTTGATTGTGCCGTCAGGGTTCCTTGTGTAAACTTTTGGATGAAGATTGAAGCTCCAATTTTGGGGTTATTAGAGCCAAGTTGGGTTGATTTTGTGCCAATTATATATGTTAATTCGAAGATAAGAAGTCAATCAATAGATATTGTAGGAATGTAAATTATGGAGCATTTAGTCAATCAAAATTTATTATTTATATATTTTTTTTCAATATTATGTCTGTTGGATGAAGGATTCATTTTAGTGTGGTGCAATTATTTCATTGTATCAGCATGAGGTCTAATTTTTTTCACTTTAGCAATCTCATTATTTTTTGCTTATTAATATTAGTTATTATTAATAACACTGTCATTGCTATGTCTCAAGTCCTGGATGAAAAAAATAGAGGGTTGTGTTAGGTAATCGATAATAAGCATAAACTTGTCGAATAATCATAACATGAATATTTTAATACATTATGTTAATGCTAGGGCGTTCCTTGGAAGTGACGCGTTGTATGGTCTGAATACAACAAGAAGTGTGCAAGGGCTGCTGCATCGACACGTGGAAGCAGTGTTAAATAGGCAAGGGTTCTCACATCATGGATGAATGTGGGTAAAGAAGCTAGTTCATGAAACTAAAATTAGGTTAGAATCTTGGAATGTATGTTCCTTTATAGACAGATTAATGTAATTAATTGATATTATGATTCATAGAAAGATAAATATTCTATGCATTCAAGAAACTAAATGGGTGTGAGAGAATGCTAAGGAGATTGATAGTTTTGAATTTAAACATTGGTATTCTAGTAGGAGTTATATTAGAAATTGTGTAGGTGTAATTATATATAAGAGTTTGAAAGATAATATTGTAAAAATTGATAGAATAGGAGATAAAATTATAGTTTTGAAAATTATTGTTAATTATAAGATTATTAATATTATAAGTACTTATGCTTCTCAAGTAGGTTTGGATATGTGTTCAAATTAAAATTTTGGAATGACTTAAAAGAATTAATACAAAAGATGTCTCTTGAAGAAAGAGTTTTTATTGTGGGAGATTTAAATGGACATGTTGGTAGAGAGGTAGATGATTTTAAAAGAATTTATGGTGGCTATGGATTTGGAGCGACTAATGAAGGTGATAAGACTATATTAGATTTTGCTATAACTTATGATTTTATAATTGCTGATATCTTATTTAAGAAAGAGATGAACATCTCATCACTTATAAGAATGGATATAGTAAAACTTAGATTGATAATTTTTTTGCAAGAAAAATATATCATTTAGATTGCAAAGATTGTAAAGTTATTATGAGTGAAAGTCTATGTACCCAATATCTCTTATTAATTTTGGACTTACAGATGAATTGGCATAATATGAAAAATATAGTATATCATCGTTCTAGGATTAGATGGTGAAATTTAAGAACTCTAGCAAAAAAATATCTTTGAGAGTAAGATTCATGATCTTAAGATTTTGTTCGTGCATGAGGAAGCTAATGTCATGTAGGAAACAATAGCTTGTAATGTTAAAAAAGTTGCTAAGGATGCGCTTGGAGTATCAAAAGGAAAAACTTCTAATAGTAAAAATAATTGGTGTTGAAATCAAAATGTGCAAGAAAAAATAAAAAATAAGAAGCTATGTTATAAAAATTAGTTTAGATGTAAAAATTTTAAAAATTAGGAAAAATATAAAATTGCATGTAAGGAGTCTAAGGAAACAATCCGCAAATCAAAGACTTTACCTTTTAATGATTTATATAATAGATTAAATACTAAAGATGGTGAAAGATATATGCATAAGCTAGACAAACAAAGAGATAAGAGTAACAAGAATTTAGTTAAAGTGAAGCGCATTAAGGATGAAGATCAAAAACACTTTTTTTAAAAGAGAATATTTAACAAAAGTGAATGAGATATTTTACTAAGCTTTTCAATGAAGATTGTGAAAATATACCTGACTTTAGTGACCTTAACATTCGAGCACATTCGAGCACATTCGAGCGCAACAACTTCCTCTCTATTGCCTATAACTTCAACCCGCGACCTTTTTCGTAGCCAACACCGTCATAACCGTCACCGACAATCACTTGAAAGTTGTACACCAACATCCTAAAAATTTTTTAGCATTAATCTCATATTTATGTTGGTGAAATAATTTCTAAAAAATGAACATGATTGAAATAAATTAAAAAGAAGTCTATTGGAAGGCATTTGAAACTAAAATTAGGTTAGGATCATGGAATGTATGTTCGCTTAAAAAAAAATTAATGAAATTAATTGATATTATGATTTATAGGAAGATAAATATCTTATGCATTCAAGAAACTAAATGGATGAGAGAGAAGGATAAGGAGATTGATAATTTAGGGTTTAAACTTTGATATTCTAGTAGGAGTCGTACTAGAAATGATGTAGATATGATTATAGATAAGAGTTTGAAAGATAGTGTTGTAAAAATTGATAGAATTATAGATTTGAAGATTATTATTGATAATAAGATTATTAATATTATAAGTGTTTATATTCCTCAAGTAAGTTTGGATACGTGCTCAAAATTAAAATTTTAGAATGATTTAGAATAATTAATACAAAAAATACATTCTAAAAAAAAAAAATTATTGAGGGAGATTTAAATGGATATGTTTGTAGAGAGGTAGAGGATTTTAAAAGCATTCATGGTGGTCATAGATTTGTAGCGACTAATGAATGAGATAAGACTATATTAGATTTTGTTATAGCTTACGATTTTATTATTGCTAATATGTTATTTAAGAAAAGAAAAGAGATGAACATCTCATTAATTATAAAAATGAATATAGTAAAACTCAGATTGATTATTTTCTCGTAAGAATAATAGATTGTTTAGATTCCAGAGATTGTAAAGTTATTCCAAGTGAAAGTCTATGTACTCAACACCGGATTATATGATGGTATTTAAAGAACTCTAACAAAAATATATTTGAGAGTAAGATTCATGATCTTAAGATTTTGTTGGTGCATGAGGAAGCTAATATTATGTGAAAAATAATAGCTTGTAATATTAAGAATATTGCAAAAAATGTGCTTGGAGAATCAAAAGAAAAAGCTTCAAATAATAAAAATAGTTGGTGGTGGAATAAAAAATGTGCAAAAAAAAAGATAAAAAATAAGAATATTTATTATAAAAATTGATTTAGATGTAAAAATTCTGAAAATTGAGAAAGATATAAAGTTGTCTGTAAGGAGTCTAAGAAAGCATTCTGCGATGTAAAGACTTTAGCTTTTAATTATTTATATAATGATTAGATATTAAAGAGGGCAAAAGATATATGTATAAGCTAACAGTTTGATTGTGGCTTTTAATGATTTATATAATAGATTAAATACTAAAGAGGGTGAAAGATATATGCATAAGCTAGACAAACAAAGAGATAAGAGTAGCAAGAATTTAGTTCAAGTGAAGCGCATTAAGGATGAAGATCAAAAACACTTTTTTTAAAAGAGGATATTTAACAAAAGTGAATGAGATATTTTACTAAGCTTTTCAATGAAGATTGTGAAAATATACCTAACTTTAGTGACCTTAACACTAAATAAAAATATAGATTTTTATTTTTATCAATGTATTACTAAAACCAAAGTTAGAGAGGCTTTAAAGAAAACGAAGCGTGGGAAAGTTATTGGACCTGATAATATTCCAATAGAGGTATGGAAATGCTTAAGAGATGAAGGAATTTCTTAGCTTGCTAAACTTTTTAATATTGTTCTAAAGATTAAAAAGATGTCAGATGTGCGGATAATGAGTGTGTTGATTCCTAT